CCTCTCCTGCGTGGAATCAGCACTCCCTCCAGCCACCAGAGCATGTGCTGGCTCTGCTTTCAGAGTCCCTGCTGCTGAGATGTGAAACAACAGCTTCATAAGTTGTCATCTGTTTTTGCTATTTCACAGACACCACTTGTGTCCAGCTGGTGCCTCAGTGACTGGCCACTTCACACCAGGAAGGACAAGTGTGAGGCCAACACAGAGCTCAGGTCTATCCTAAAAACATGGATTTCAAGGATGAGGGGCTGAAATCATGCATCTTATGCTTATAAGTTTTTAAATTTAAAACTCTACTTTCCATACGTGGCTCCTTGGCTCCACATTTTGACAATAGATACTAAGAATGAAACACAGGGCCACTCCAGGCCCCTGAGCCTCTCTTTCACCATCCTAGTGCTGAAACAGAGCACTGTGACCTGCAGGTATTTCTGTTTTATTTGCAGTTCTACGATGCCCACTGGCAGGTCACACAGTGACAGGTAACCTCAAGCACCAAGAATTCCAGGTCAAGAGATGGACATAGTTGACTCTGAAGGCAGCCTGCAGCTATGTTCTCAATGTCAGTGTGTACATCACAGACACATCACAGTGGTATTTACAGGGCCAAATAGAACTGGACCCAGGGGGACAGGCGATGGCCCAGGTCTCAGACCCAGACACAAGTTTTTACGTTTTACTGTACTGCCTCACTCAACTCCAACAACACAGACAAGGAGGCATCCTCTCTATCTCCTCTCCCCTTCAGGTCACTAGAGAATACTGGTGGCAGTAAGATTTCCTAAAGAGGGCTGTGAAGGACATTTAAAGCTCAGTGACCCCTGATAGACCTAACCATTCATAGTTAAGTCATCATTTCTCATTGTCTGTTCTCTAGGATGCTGGAAAAAGTGATTTCATGATGATTACCGTAGAGCCATCCAGAAACCTCATGAACTGAAATCACAGCATCTATCTCCCAGCACAGACCAGATACCTGGACCACATATAGAAATGTCATCACTGAGAGCGAACACATCACTCTGGAGTGGAGCTGCCTCCTTTATTCAGCACAACATTCGCTCCCAATCTCAGCTCCACACACACTGAGGACTGAGCAGGAAGTCGGCCCACTCGAAACAACAAGTTCTAGTGGTGCCTGGCAATGCCCAGCATATAATGGGGTAGGAAAGGCTGTGCAGTCCTTCTTGAATCCTCCAACACTCAGACAAAAGGCCTTGGAAGAGCCTAGAAGAAACATAAGGTCATAGGACTGGCAGGTGATGTGGTGGTTAAGGGCACTGGACTCACACGTAGCCGACTGCAATTTGAGTCCCAGACCTGACAGCTTGCTTGCTCACTCGCTCGCACTCTCTCTCTCTCTCTCTTCAGTCAAATTAAAATAAATAAATAAATAAAAACTTAAATTAAAAAATTCTTTATAAAAAAAAAAAAAAAAAAAAACAAGGGGACACGCAGTAAATGTCACTGGACTCCCATGTAGTCGACCGCAGTTCGTGTCCCAGACCCAGTGGCTTAAAACTCACGCAGGGCACATGTGCATGCGTGCCCAAGATCCCAAAAGGAGAATGGAGGAGAAGGGATTGCAGCGTGGCCATCCCCCCTGGGGGGTGATTTCTCACTTTCTGTCGTCTCTCTCTGTCTGTCTGGTGAGCACACGCGCCCTATAGCAAAAATAAAAAAGAAAAAAAAAAAAAAGAAACACGAGGTTATGAGGACCATTCAGTGGAATCCCAGAGTAGAGCACACCCCCAACAGTGATCCCACAGCTGTATTAAGGTTGACCCAATTAGAACCAACTTCTAAAAACCACACGGAGAAAGAGCCCTTACCCTAGCCCTTCACATGAATTTTAGTTTTCAAAAACAACCAAGTAAATGCATACCCATACTTATTCACAGTAACATTATTCACAGTAGCCAAAAGGTAGAAGTGACCCAAGTGTTCACTGAGGGATGAATGGATGAAAAAAAAAAGAGGTCTCTCCATACAATGGAATATTATCCAGCCTTAAAAAGGAAGGAACTTCTTTGGACCAGCAAATGATATAATGGTTACATCACTGGGCTCACACAGTCGACGTGGTTCAAGTTGCAGACCCAGCAGCTTGAAACTCACACCAGGCACGTGTGCATGCATGCCCAAAATCCCAAGAGGAGAATGAGGGGAAGGGATTACGTGATAGCCATCTTCCCTGGGAGGTGATTTATCACTTTCTGTCTGTCTCTGTCTGTCTCTCTGGTGAGCGCGCATGTCCTATAGCAAAAATCTCTCTCTCTTAAGAAAAAAAAAAAAGGGAAGAAGATTCTGATATCTACTCCAATGTGGATAAACCTTGAAGACATTATAAATGAGTCAGTCACAGAAAGATAAATACTGTATGATTCCACTTATACAAGGTATCTAGAGTAATTGAATTCACAGAAACAGAAAGTAGGCCCATGCTGGCACTATAGTCAGTAGCAAAATGAATTGCAGTGCTGGAAGTTGCATTTTCATCTGAGGGTTCGAATCCCTGCATTGGCCTGACAACACACGTGCACATGACTAGAATCTTGACAAGCCAGAGGGCGGGAGAAAGGAGATCACTGACCTTGTTGTGAATTAATCCCCACCTCTTTCTCTGGCAATGCGTGCACCCATACACGATTGTGAATAAAATAAATAAAACTTGAAAAATAGATATGGAAAGTAGAAAGGTGGTTTCCAAGGGCTGGGGTGAGGGCGGAATGGAAGTGTTTCATAGGCACAGAGTTTCAGTACGGAAAGATGAAACCGTTCTGGAGACAGATGGTGGTGATGGTAGCACAACAATGTGAACAGGCGTAATGCCACTGAGCCGTACACCTGAAAATAGCTAAGAAGGTAAATCTTATGTGTATTTTACAACAATTAAAAAATAACAAGCAAGTCGCTGGTATCGTGGTACAGTAAGGATGAGATTCAGCAACAGGGTTTTCCCGGCCAATGCATACTGGCCCTGGAGGGGCCCGATTCCTGCAAGGTTCGACCATGAAGTGACAAAGTGGAGAGACTCAAAGAAGGCCTTACCTGTTTCCCCATGAGCTGCAAGGAGGCCAGGGATTGGCTGCAGACCAGACACCAGAAAGTTCTCAGGGAGTAGATGGAATGCAGGTTCCAGGGGTGGGTGTGGCTTCAAGGTATACTGCAGGCTACAGTTCTCAATGAGGGTCATGTGTTTATTTTCTAGGGGAGAAAAAAAAAATGTGATTGCTGAAAATAAAGGCACTTTAGGTCAAGCGAACCAGGAAACAGATTCTTAGAAAGAAACGCTATAAAGACAAAGCACATTTTTCTATGGAGAGATGGGAAATTGCTCTGTTAGTTCAGCCTAAAAGTGGAAAAAAAATCAATCTCTAATAACTCTCTCTGGTAAAATTGCAATGAAAGAGATACTTTCTTTTAATCCGACATAAAATCTTTCCTGCCCACCTCTCTCCCAGAGTGGTGAGGGTACAGGGCAGCAGGAGGCTGTGCCATGTCACTGGGCACCACTGACCCCTGTGGTGGACTCGGGGAGGGAGGTGTGGAAGATGCTCTGGACCTGAGGCCTGCCTGCCTTTGAGTCTCAGCACTTGCATCCATCAAGCCCCACAAAGGAGCAGGATAGCACTGGAGGGTGAGCAGCAGCAAAGACAGAGCCCTGTCCTCAAGGAGAGGCCATCCTCCTGAGGTGACAGCTAAGACACAAATACACTCATGTCCACAATGTACACGGGAAAATAGGATCCAAACCAGAAGAACGGTTTGGATAAAGTACTTGGGGAACTTGAGGGGTGGCAGGAAGGGAGAGGGGAAGCAGATCCCCTCAGTCAAGGTCACAAGGAAAGCCCCCTGGAGAAAATGCTGGGACAAGCTGGGATTCCCAGCACAGGGAGGGAGCAGGCAATCAGTGCAAAGAACAACATGACCAGAAACTGGTGCAGGAAGAAACACAGTCCAGAGTCACAGGGTCTAGGGTCAAGAGATGAGCTGTCTTCGCACTCCCACCAAATAGTCAACCTTGCTTGGGCTTGATTGTCTCCCTGACAGGGACCTCGCTGCCCCTGCCACACCATGCCATCTTAGGCCAGTTCTGGCTATTGAAGTTCTAGTGGTGACCATACTATGGAGGGCCAGTAAGAGTTAGAGCTGCATTTCACTCATTTTGTGAGTGCATAAGGAAAGCGCCAAATACGAGCTACTGCATTCACTATAAAAATAAGTTAATGAAAACTATGCTTAATACCTAACCACTCCAAACATGGGATCTGCTCACTTTAAAATTTAAAGTGCTGCTTGAAGTCGCTTTACCTGCGTGACCAGTCAGAGGAAAAACTGGCACAATCTCTGTGGCAGGCAAACAGAAGCGATTTGGCAAAACAACAAATGCTCAGACTCTCAGGCCCAGACACTCCGCTTCAGAAGTTTATCCCACAGAGTCGCTTGCACATCTGCAAAAGGGCAGGCATCCACTGCCTTTGGCGTCCAGCCTTGTTATTAAAGAAACACCCAAGTGTCCAAGTGTGGGAGACTGATTCGATCATGAAACATCAAGTCAGTGAAACACCCACAGCCATAAAAAGAATGAGGTACTTTCTAAGGACTGATATGGAACATTCTCCAAGATAAATTGCTAAGGTGAAAAAAGTACCATATGGAACAGTGAGCAAAAAGAGGGCGAAAGTAAGAATATAGACATGTACGTTTGCTCTGTACTCATAAAAAGACCTTGGAAGAAGCCATAAGAACTCAGAGGGAGGTTACTTGCAGTGGCAAGTCAGAGAGCGGGGAAGAGCTTGCTCTGAATCTTTTCTACTTTTATACATCTTAGGTTCTCAATCGTGTGAGTGTATTGCCATCCTCAGTAAAGTTTTGGAAATGCCAGTGGAGAAGATGAGCTGATGGCTCCATGGCTGGTTCCTCCTCATACTCTACATTCACACATACACGGCTTCCACATAAATATTCAAAGAGTATCCTAGAACTGTGGACATGGAATACACATGGCGGCTCTGTACAGTTTAAAGGTCCTGATTCTACAGATACTACAGGAGAGAAAAACTCTGGCAAATAACCAAATTTGATTGAGAAATCATCTAAAAGGCAATCTTCATACATAAAATTACAGTTTTGAAAGATTATTCCCCCATCACAAGATTTTTCACTAAAGTCAGGGATGGGAGAAAGAGTTGCTAGGTAGGTTTGACAGGCCAAAATTCCCTTCAAGGAATCCAGGCAACATCTCAAAGAGGCAAAAAGTTACCTACTCCCCAAGCAGAGCCACCTCTAATCATTCTACCCCAACTGTGCTCCTATGATGGCCTTCTAGCCCATCCCCTCATTCGGTTCCCCACCCAACCCCTCGCCACCCTGCTCTGCTCTGAGCAGGTCTCTCAGCTGCCAAGCCTCAAGGCAGAGGGGAGTCCAGGGGTCCTAAAACATGGTAGGTTTTCCTGCAGAATGTTCATATCAGGCACAACAGGGGAGGTCTCACCATGCTGGAGATAATCAATGAATTTTATAGGTAGAGATTTTGCTGGACAGCCATTGGCCAATGACAGTGACTATTTCATCCGGTGGGCAAAGTTGTCATCTAACAGGCAGGGGGGCCAACTCCCCTGCCCCAGGTGGCTCATACAGTCAGCATCACAAATCAATACCCTCTGTCTGGGCAGGTGTGTTTCAACTTTTTTTTTTTTTCAAATTTTTGATAGAGTGTACATGTGTTGGCCAGTAAGAGACAGAAAACAAGAAGGAAAGTGAGAAAGCACCCCCGACGAGGGATGATCAGACTGCAATCCTTCCTCCTCTATTTCTCCTCTCGGGATTTGGGGCACATACACATTGCCTTCAAGTCACCAAGTCTGGAATTCGAACCACAAAGTCAGCCATTTAGGATCTAGCTGCCTTAACTACCGCACGATCAGTTGGCCTCAGTTTTTTCAATTATGCCCAAAATCCAAGTCCATGATACATGATACTTGCCCAAGTCTATTAAATAAGTTAGCTAAGCTGGTAGTGGTTTATTAATACATTGAGAAAGATTAAGAGACAGAGTAACGACTGGAGAATTCTCAGGAAAGTATGAGGTCAAAGACTGCTGCCAAGGCCAGGCCTGGTCGCTTACGTTCTATGGGGTCCTGGAGAAGCGGGTGCAGGAGGGCCCGGGGGGTGCCATGATACAGTCTCAACCTGGAAAACAGGACCCAGGGAATGCACATCAACTATCTGTATCTTGCATCAAGTCACCAAAGGTCAGCTATGTGGGGGACCCTACCACCACCACAGTCACTAGAACTTTCTAAACTGTCCACCATGTCCTCTGCAGAACACAGAGGCGGCTGAGAAGAGCACCGGCCACCTCAGCACTCGGTGCTCTTCGCCCTGCTTGCCTAGCACACACAGGCCCTGCCCTCATGCAGCCCAAGAACCCAGGAGCTAGAACACAAAGCTAGAAATGTTTGAAACTCTGAACTGTCCCAGGAAAGGCAACATCTGAGGTACTTCACTGGCTGTATATCCAGAACAGTGACTCTTAGTCAGGGGGCATCTGGCCCCTAGGGCACAGCTGGCAATGTCTGGAGATTTGCTGGTTGTCACAGCGGGGTGGGAGGTGCTTATCGAATCTAACAGGTAGAGGCCATCGATGTTGCTAAATGGCCTATAACATAGGATAGTCCCAGACCCCACAGCAGACAGTTACCCAGCCCAAAAAGCCCACGGTGCCAAGGTTGAAAACCCCTGATCTGGAGTAACAAGGTGAACTCCACCCTTGGCTGAAACTACTACACACTGTTTCACCTTTGGATGTCCAGCTCCTGAACAGAGCTGGCACACAGTAGGTGCTCAATCAACGTTTGCTGTGTGAATACCACTGCTCTCTGGGTGCCTGTTTATGACAAACACATTATTTAATATTCTAGCAGCCCTTGTAAGATGCACATATAGATTAACAAATCAGAGTCAAAGAATCGAAATAACTTGCCTGAAATCTCACAGGAAATAAGTGCTAGAGCAGGGCTTTAGCCCATATCCACCCTACATCAAATTAATACTCATGGCCAAAGCCAGTCCTCGCCCCACCCTAAAGACCAATTCTTTGGCTTACTGAGAAATGGCAAAAACCCTCCATGCAAAAACTATCCCACGGCATGCTGTTATGAGCGCACAACAACTTCAGATGACAAATTTCAAGCTTTCTATTGTCACCAAGAGATGAGCAATTAAATCACCACAGCAAGGTGCTGGAAAACTCCATGGGTACAGGAAACAAAGAAGGTACCGTTTGTCCTGGGAAGCAGAGGTAGGAGATTCGGGCTTACTGCTGAAGATCCGAAGAATTCCAAAGCCACATGACAATGTCTGGAGGGTCCCATCCCGTTTCTTGCCTTCTGTAACCACTTCTACCACAGCCACAATATTTGGGTGGCTTAAGGATGTATGAAAATACAAGGGCTGCAAAATAGAAATTAGAGACAGTTACAATGAAAGCTAGATGGATGAGATGTTCCGGGCCTGCAGAGAAGGCGACGCAGGTGCTCGTTCTCCTTCACATCTGTGACCGTCTTCATCCAGGACCCTCTACCTTGTGCCTCGTGCGGAGCGGACATTCCTTCCAGAGTGCAAGGGAAGACCATAAGCCCAGCAAAATAACTCCCTTCAAGTGGAAAGGGGGCATCAGAGCTGTTTCAGTTCAGGTTGCCCAATATCCGGAACATCAGAAAAGGTGCTTCTTGGGACCAGCAGTTGGTGTAATGGCTACATTGCTGGACTCCCATGTAGTCAACTGCAGTTCGAGTCCCAGACCCGGTGACTTGACCTCATGCCAGGTGTGTGTGCATGCATGCCCAGGATCCCAAGAGGAGAATGGAAAAGGGATTGTGGCAGGGCCATCCCCTCGGGAGGTGATTTCTTGCTTTCTGTCTGTCTGTCTCTCTCTTTCTAGTAAGCGCACATGCCCTATAGCAAAAACCACTCCAAAAAGAAAAAGAAAAGGTGCTTCTGTTCCAGGAACTTTCCATCCCTGGAATCCTACCACAAGAAATGCAAACAGATTCCAGAGAAGAATGAGGCTGGAACAGCTATGCACCCCCCACCCCCTAGAGGTGGGCCGCATCAGGTTAGATCAGCCCAGATACAAGCCCAAACACAAACACAAACCTGCTGATTTTACCTTCCAAGCATCACTTAGTGCTCAATATGAGAAACTTCAGTCACCCCTTGCCATAACTGATTGGAACTCTGTTTCATATGTAACTATTATGAAGTCCTATTGGAACTAATTGTGTTTAAACTCAGAGGGATGCTTAGATTTCTTTCAGATGCCAAGTAATTATCCCCTGTCCACACCAAACTAAACCTTTTTTGTGATGAAAATCACCTTGAGAACACCTGATTAAAATCTTGGGGGAGGGGGGACCAGCAGTTAGCATAATGGCTATGTCGCTGGACTCCCAAGTAGTCGATTGCAGTTCGCATCCTGGACCCGGTGGCTTAAAACTCACACCAGGCGCGTGTGCATGCGTGCCCAAGATCCCGAGAGGAGACTAGAGGAGAAGGAATTGTGGTGTGGCCATCCCCCCTGGGGGGTGATTTCTCGCTTTCTGTCTCTATGTCTCTCTCTGTCTGGCGAGTACAAGCACCCTATAGCAAAAACCTCTCCAAAAAAAAAAAAAAATCTTGGGGAGACTTAGACCAAGCAGATGATATTTGAATCGATCTTAAAGGTATTCTGTTTGTGGCCCAGCTGCAGTGGCACAGGTGCTAAGATGTCCCTGCATGATCCTAGGGCCATACTGGAAGGTTGACCTGAACGTGCTGGGCACGCTTGCAGGCACAAGCATGATCATTGTTGGTTGGGGGTGGATCAAGGCATGATCCCACCCTGCCAGAAGAGTGAAGGGAGACAGGAAGGGGAAAGAAAGGAAAGAATGAAAAGAAAGCAAGGAAGGAAGGAGAAACTAAAAAATAAAAAAATAAAAGACAGTATTTCCTTTGCAAGCTTCCCATCGCCCAACATGCGAAGGACAAGCCTCTGACCTGGTGCCTTCGGCCTGAACCTGGGGAGGAGGTGCTGGAAAGGTAGCACAGGCAAGTCCTGCCAACTCTGTATTTCACAGGCACCTCCCGCTTCAGCTCTGCTGCTGCTCTTCTATTTCACTAAATTAAACACACATGTGTTTTACTTAACTCTAATAAATGTCACAGACACAGAAGACAGACACAGAGCTGCACTCTGGGCTTGCTAATCAACAGGGAATCAGCATCCCAGGCACTCAGAGTGGCAGAGCTGACTCTAGACTCTAAGTATCCCTGAAACTCATCATCCAACCTGTGGGCAAGGCGCGGTGCAGAGTTGCCAGCTGAACACAAAGACTACCTCCCGCCCCCTGCACCACGCGGCAGAGACATAAGGCAGGGCTGAGGCTGATCCACCGCAACGTGATTTAAACTTGGAATAATCCTCCTGTTAACGAGTCATTACCATGGTGTCACCGAGAAAACATTTACTGGAATCACAGACTGTCAGCCCAGGATAACAGAGAGACACATTAAAACATCAGCCATAAGATATAAATCGTTATTCTATTATCTTTTATTGCAAAATGATGAAATAATGACCACTTACCACTGACAGGTGGTTGGACTAAGAGAGAATTATGTTCCTGTTTCTAAGACTCAAGAACTGTTTTCAAAAAGTCCTACGTAAAGTCAAGTTTGTCATCCCCTCACCTTTTATATTTATACCTGTGCATATCACCTTTATGAACACTGCCCACTTCTCCTTTTGGCAGCAAAACATTTTAAACTCTGAGAGGAAACAATAATCCTCTGACTCAGAGTCACCTTGAAATTACTCTACCTGGGGTGGCAGGACCAGCTGCTTTGGGCATGTCCCAGGTACAAATTTGTGATTACGGTCTTTCTCTTCTGTTTACCACCAAGCACAATTATTCTGACCGAAAAAATAACAACAGGGCCTCATAGGTTTTTTTATCTCAGGTGAGCCAACCTTAAAACCCAAAAAAATCCAGACTCAGAAGAGTTGGCCATTAGAAGTACAATACACTATTGGGTTGTCTGAAAAGTCATGACTTAATTTTCTGGTTTGGTTTGGTTTTGGTTTTGGTTTTGGTTTTGTTTTATTGCAGTCTGAAAACAGCCACTCTGTTTGTTTACTGACCAGATTACAAAAATAATCATGGTGGATACCTTAGTTCATCCTTCTAATAAGTCTGTTGATCTGGTCTTCCGTGATGCCAGCATCTCCACCTTCTACAAAATAGGTGGTCTTTTTCTTCATTCCACCTCGTGGAGAAGATAATCTGAAGGGCTACAGGAAGTTATTTGCTGCTTTGAAGCCTTTTGTAACAGTACAGATGCCATGAATCAGCTCCTCTGTGCAGATGACACCAAATTTACCAAGAGATCGAGCAATCAAAGAGTTATCCGTCAAAGCAATTTGCTTATCGATTTTGCCATAACCACACTTGTAGATCAACTAACTTCAGGTTCAGGTACCCCCCATGCAATATACAGTTCCACAATTCTCAGCATGTTAATTGAGGCCTTGTTGAGCTTAACAAAGATAGCACTGAAGATATGGCAAAGACGAAGAAGCTGCAACACCTTTTGAACCTCTGGGCTCACTCCACTGACACCTCTGATCCTGATGACAAATGCCAATTTGGGTTCTGCAGGTACATAGAAGTTGCCAGCTTTTCTTGCCATCCTGGCCATGCGAATCTCAGTTCTGTCCATCTGCCTATATTCCTTATGCTAGAGCTTAGCTTTTTCATGGGTAAGCTTCCTCCTTGCCTTTTGAAGCATCTTTTGAGCAAACTTCTTTCTCAGGCGCTTGATCTTCAACTCTGCAAAACTGCTTTGTTTTTTCTTAAGGGTTTCTGGCACAGCAGGAACCTTTTTCTTGGTGGCTTCCGCGGCAGCAGGAGCCCTTTGTTTGGTCTCTGCCACAGCAGGAACATTCCTTTTCTTTTCTTGAATGCCCTCGATGGTTCCAGCTGGAAAAGAGCTATTTTTCTATGCAGAAACGCGTCATGACTTTCCCGACAGCCCAATAAGAAGTGGTTCTAGCTCAGATGGTCCTATCGGGATTATTACTGATTGATAAGATGTAGGCTCTTTCCCAAAAATCACTTTCTGCCTCTCCAGTATGGGAACAGAAGCATGCTAAAGTATGTCTAGGAAACCTAGAAAACATATTCTAGCCCTTGAGAAGCTCAAGGTTCATGGGATTTATAAAGCATAGACAAGGGAGGGATAAAAATGCCAAGACTGCTCAGGAACAAATGGGAAAAGGCCTCCTGGGGATAAAAACACAAATGCGACCCACCGCACAGCTCTCACCCTCTGGGCTTCCTCCCAAAGCCAGGAATGACAGATTCACCTGTACTAGACGCCCACTTCCTGCCTTGCTGACAAGCAAACTCCAGACAGCACTCAGCGAAGCAGTATCTGTAAACAAACCCTTCAGTCTAGGGAAATTTAATTAACGCCAACGCCATACATTTTGAGAGGAAAATTCTATGCATCAACTGAAACTGCATGATTAAAAGTTTAAGTCAAGCCCATCAAATTACCTGCAGGAGGGGCCCCCTGAGAGAGACTCACCCCTACACCCATCTCAGTCATCTGCACTTGACGACTGTCCTCTCTGACAGGTAAACAGGTTAATAAATCATTTAAATGCTCCTGTCTTAATGCCTTCATCTTCAAAAACATGGACACCATTTTGCCTTGGGGCCGAGTTTCCATTTTTCACCCACCATGACAGAATCAAAATTGGCCCTGTGATGATGTGTCTGTATGAAGTGGCTACAGACAGGCATTTCCCAACTGCACCGCCCCTCGGCCTGCACTGATGGGGCACGTGGCTCTTC